TGAATTCCCTAGATTGACAGGAGGATCCGTGGCGGCGCCTACACCGGCCACTTTAAGGATTACTGATGGCTGCCAGGGGAAGGCAAAGGCTCCCGTGGTGAAGAGTTGGGCATTCCAGTCGACAGCTAAGGAGGCGAGAGCAACACTTGATGTGGTTACTAGTATGTCTCCTTACCTTATACGTTGTTGTTTCCTTTATTTATGCTTATGTTTTATCTGATTATATATGGGTACTTTCTTAGTCAATGGTATGACTACTCATGTTCTATTCGATTCGGGTGCTACCTGATCTTTTTGTATCTCTTGTGCTTAGCAAGAAGTTTAGTGATGCTCCCGAGATTTTGAATTATCCGTTGGAAGTAGAGATTGCTGACGATCATTCATTTAGTGCTTCAAAGGTTCATCGAGTTTGTATTCTGAACATGTTCAACGAGAGATATTCTATTGATTTGGCTCTGATTCCCCTGCGAGGGTCAAAGGTTATCGTGGGGATGGATTGGTTGGGCCCCAATGGGGCTGTGATTTATTATGAGCACCACTTACCGAGTGTTTGAACCCTAAGTGGGGGAGAACTAGTTATCCATGGCGAGGGTACTCAGTGTGGACCGACTCTCTGTTTAGCTGCGAAGGGTAGGAGATATCTTCACCAGGGGTGTTTTGGGTTTCTGACTTATGTGATGGATACTCGAGTTGAAGGCGACCGTGGGTGATGTGCCTATTGTTTGGGATTTTCTGGATGTTTTTCCTAAGGATTTACCAGGAATGCCTCCCAAGTGACAGGTTGAGTTCCGGATTGATTTGGTTCTTGGTGCGGCTTTGATAGCCAAGGCACTGTATCGTTTAGCACCCCTGGAGATGCAGGAGTTGTCTATGCATCTGCAAGAACTACTAGACAAGGGTTTTATCAGCCCAAGTAGTTCGCCATGGGGAGCAATAATTTTGTTCATGAAGAAGAAGGATAGTTCACGCTAAATGTGTATTGATTATCAGGAGTTAAACAAGCTGACGGTGAAGAATTATTATCGGCTCCCTAGGAACGAAGATTTATCTTACCAGCTTCAGGGTGCATCTTGGTTCTCCAAGATTGATTTATGGTAAGGTTACCACCAGATGAGGGTTAGAGATGAGGATATCCAGAAGACACCCTTCAGTACTCGTTATAGTCATTACAGTTCGTGGTGATGACATTTGGGATCACCCACACACCAACAATGTTCATGGATCTCAAGAATCGGGTATTCAAACCGATGCTGGATCGGTCGGTGATTGTGTTTATTGATTATATCATGGTATACTCTAAGACCAAGGAGCAGCACGAGGAGAAATAGCGGGAGGTGTTGGAGACGTTGAGGAGAGAAAAGGTTTATTCAAAGTTCTCCAAATGCGAGTTCTGGTTGCGCGAGGTGCAGTTTCTGGGGGAACATCGTCAACCAGAAGAGTATATTTGTCGATCCGGCCAAGATTGAGGCGGTGATGCGGTGTGAGGGCCTAATCAACATGCAACCTCTGAGGATCTGAGGTAGAGATTATGCGAGGCACCGATTCTCACTCTTCCTGATGGCATGGATGGTTTTGTTGTTTATTGTGACGCGTTAAGCTCACGATTGGGTGCAGTTCTCATGTAGAGGGGCACGTGATTGCTTACGCTTTGAGACAGTTGAAGCCTCATGCGACGAATTACCCGACGCATGATTTGGAACTTGGTGCTGTAGTTTTTGATGGGTTTTATAGATTGCAATAACTATGTGCTTGCGGAATTTCACTTAACATTTAAGGGAACATGCAACCTAAAGGATCTATGTCTTGAACACTTTGAATGTAACATGCTATGAACAACAAAAAAAATTAAATTGAACCCTAATGAATCCAAAGTATAATCAAATACAATAATTAGAGTTACATACCTTTGATTTGTTGTAGTAAACAAATCACTTCAATCTCCTTCTTGAAAACCTTGGAAAGTAAGCACCAGAAATCTCGTGCCTCGAATGGCTCACACCGAAAACCTAGAAACCCTATAATGAAGAGGAGACAGAGAAGAGAGGTATAATTTTCGTTCCCTAGCCTTATAGGAAGAGCATGAACGAAATTGAGGCTATACGCGGTCTTATTTATAGTTTAGGTAACTTAGGGACAAAGCAAGATTTGAATGATTAAATAATAGATTTAATCCCAAATCAAATCATTTCCTTATCTTCATCCATGAGGCTTCTGGAAACCCTAAGGAGGCTCCTAAAATCGTCCACCTCTTGGATGATTCTAGAATTGCTTATTTTGTTCAACTATTGAACAATTACAATTCACCCCTTGCACCTTTAATTAATTCCAATTAATCCCAAATTAATTCCAGATTAATTCTAGTTAATAATTAATTAATTCAAATTGATTTCTTATTAATTTATTAATAAGATAAATTAACAAATAAATTATATGACAATTGATCTCATGTTAATTTATTAATTACATAATAAATTAACATATCCATTATCTATTTCCAATTAATATATTAATCACATAGTATATTAACATATTATTTATCTCTCTTTCTCCTAATATCATTTCTAGCTATTTCTGGTTATGAGGGCAACCCAAAAGGAACTTTGCTAATAATTCAACATTATACTAATTTAGTTATTGGCTTAGACACCTAATCCAACAGTCTCCCACTTGGATAAGTCTAAAACTAAATTAGATGTATAACTTCTAAATCGAACAGCAAAGTGTGCTTTCCAAAGCAAGTGTCGAACTCTGATCCGATCAGACATTGGTCCTAAGACAAGTGATCAAATATTCCTTTGTTTTGCAAGATATCATATAGACGTGAGACATGATCATAATCAATATCTTTGTCCAATATTCTGTTTCCCGATTTCCGATTTATGATGACTAGATTTACATTACTAATTGAACACATCAATTTAGTCCGGGCGAGGACTTGCACATGAATGTCAACATCAAATCATCGAGGGGCCCAAAGATATCACTTTTCCTGTTAAGGAAAAAGGAACGAATAAACTTCGACTCATATTCTTGTATCCTTTACTCATCAAATCGTACATGACACTACGTTTTATAACATCACGTTACTGATGCGTCTTTCCCAATACCAATGCATAACTGACTTGTAAATTACAACTCATATATCTATGTTTTAAGAACATAAGATATTATCGTCTCAGAATTACTCGTCATAGAAACCATGAAGTAATTCCCTGAGCGTGGGTTAATCTAATACTTTAATCTCCATTTCTAAGTACTCATGAATGTTGTAGCAATAAAATTTCTATGTCTAAACTCCTTAGACACTCTACAATCTAATTCATGACAGTCTTAATTCACTACTTACTTCCTAAAGTATGAGCGATTGTGGAACTTTGAATAATTAAATTATTTAGGAAGTAAAACATGCAAAGTGAAACATAATAATAAACTAATTAACTATGGTCTCAAACCTATTGAATACAAATATTCTCTATTAATTAATCAACATAATAATTACGACTTTATTCATTGTATAATGTTTCGAGCAATCAACCAACCATTTGAATTAAATAACATCAGTCATGCCATGTTATGAACATGCATATTATGCCTCTTTATGGTCCATCCCTTGTGAACAGATCAACTAGACATTATTCCAATGATGCTCATTTCACAATTCCAAAGTCTTGTCAATATCTAAAATGTATTGGAATTCCAACATAACATGCATTGAACTTCTGTAATGTCGAGGCTTCAAAGTCACAGAGACTGAGCCAACAATATTACAGAATGTTCCATTAAAAATTTGTTACTAGAAACAATTCCATGGTAATGAAGTTTCAAATTCAAGGTACACTCCTTGAACACGTCTCGTGCATTAAAGTTTCAAATTCACATGTAGACTTAACAATCAACTCTTATTATGTAAACTTTTCCATATTACCATATGACGATCAATTTTAACCAAGAATTATCTCAATCTTAAACATGTCACTATGGTCCTCCCAAACAATACCATGCTTCCAACTGTCCATAAGCAATCAATCTTCAGTAAACCTCATACTATTCTAGACAGTTGTTTGACAACTCCATTCACACAAAAAATTCTAATCATTTTTCCTTTCAATGTGGAAATATCAGAATAAGTAAATACTATAGCATATGTAATCGATCCTACATCTGAAGCATATGGGACTCGATTCATTAAATCCGATATCTGTTTAATCTCTTGCGATAATATTTTCATATATGGAATTTCCTATGTTGAACCATTTCAACATGATATTCACATATGTCCATGACTGATGACGTTCCCTATAGATTGGGTCAAAAGCTGCGCTCAGACGCGCCAAGAATTCCCCAAGTCACAACTACGCCTGGTATAGCCTGTGGAGAAGGTTCAACCCGCTGGAAGCTCATGCCCGCGGACGTCCCCAAGCACAGAGTGCCTGTGGAGAAGGTTAGGCCCCTCTAGGGGCTCCTTCTACTCCGCAACAAAGCATTACTGCTCCAGAGGACAACAGGGATGCTCAGCGCATTATCACCTGAACCAATCGTTAGCTCCGACTGAATGAGGAGCACGATTGCCCAATCAGCGCGCCCAATCCTGTTGGGTTTGACGGCATTCTCTCGCACAGACTGGCAGGAGAGTTCTGTATAAAAGGCCTCCTCCAGTGACCGGAAGAGTAATCCGCTTTCTCTCAGTTCACCTCAAACAACCCAAGTCTATCTAATGACTTGAACGTTGGAGCGTTTTCCCGGGATCCACTCCCGAAGAATGGCTGACGGTTTCTCCCTGTTGTGACCTTGCAGGTTCGTCGGAGTATCAGAACCCTTGAAGAGCATCGTCGGAGAACCAGGTCGCATCGTTTGGCGCCATCTGGTGTGTGACGAACGACAAACAAAAGCAGACCTCACAACACTCAAAGATGACAATCGGCAACACCGGTAGAGGTAGTGGAACACCGACGAGCCCCATCAGGTCCATGATGCCATTGGAATCAGTCGCCATTCCCACCTCAGCAGACAACGACGATTGCCCGTGAATCACCACAACAAGGTGGCTCGACAATGACCACCGCTCTGATGAGTGAAATATGAAGACCATTCATTGAAGGGTCGACGCCCTCTGCCACCGCATCGGAGCAAAATTCCTCATCACATAGCCAACAACTGACAAAAATCTTAAGCAGGACGACACCACCAACGGTGGACAACGCTGGCAATATGCTCACCTTTCCAAAAGCACCGCCGTTAAGCAAGATGACAGGAGAAAAAATGGAGACCTTCCAAACATCCTCTTTCGCAACAAGAATACCATTCTCCACGAAAACCTCACAACACTCTCCGTTCACATCAAACCACCTGTTCATATCAAACCCGCCACTCTTGGCAACCCAACCACCGATTTTCCCATTTTAACAACAAAGTTTTTATGGCCCAACACTAGGACACCTCTTAGCGTACAACAACATGCTGGTACAACCATACCTTACTGCTTAACAGTTCGACCCCTACATCGTCTTTCTAATCCCAAACCAAGATTGTTTGTCTAGGAGCATGACATCTCTGTTCGCTAAGGAACTCTTAGACTATGAAATCCCAAATACAGCAAAGTTGCTACACCTTAAGACCTACAATGGAACCACATATCCAGATAGTGAGATCGACACGTACGAATGGACGATGACCTCATTAAAGTTGGACGAGCGATTCTGGTGATCGTATTTCTCAACAACCCTAGACGGAAATAGGGGAACGTTGTTCAAAACACTTTGCCCTGGGAGCATCTAAAATTTCGGCCATCTAAAGTATCTTTTCATGAAGAATTTCCCGCAACTATGAAAATACAAAGGAGATTCACACTCGATCATTGGCTGCAAGCAAAAGGAAGGAGAGACAGTGCGAGAATACTTCACCAGGTTCACTAATCCCACATTAGACGTCTCGAGGTACGACGAGGGTTTAATAGCAGGAGCCTTCACATGGGGTCTTCTTCCATGACCACTATCCCAAAAGCTCATGAGGAAGAAACCCCAAACATGTGTTGGACTAAAAGAAAAGGTGGAATGTTACCTAATGCAAGAAAAAGGAGAGGCAGCCAAACAAGCGTACTTGAACGCCATGACTGCCTCAGCCACAAAGCACCATAGCCAGCCGCAACACCACCAAGAAACTCCTGGCGGCAACATACACTTGCAGAGAGATGATAGAAGAGGTATATGACCGTATGTCTATGCCGTCTCTGACAGACAACCAACAAAAGGAGTAAAAGGACGGTACTGTGAATACCATAAGAGCAAGACAAACGACACTACTAACATTTGAGTACTAAAAAGGGAAATGGAGGAGAAAGAACTAAAAGGAAACCTGATAGAGGTCGCACGGAGTCTCCGAGCCAAGTTTGACACCGAAAACACTAAAGACGCTGCAAAAGTACACGACCAGCCCCATGAGATCCTAATGATCAGATCCAAAAGAAGGAGGCAAGGAGAATGCAACGGGTCGGACAACCTTGTAAAATCCATGCATGGCTTAACGTTCTCGGAAAAATATCTACAACCTGTAGGTTGGTGAAGAGATGACCCGCTCATAATTTAAGGGTCCATCAAATACATCACTATACACTGGGTGTATATAGACACTGGAAGTTCAGCATACATTATCTACGTGTATTGTTTCCGTCTCATTCCGGATAAGTGGAAAGGGAACCTCAAGCCTATGACAGGACAATTAAAGGGTTTCACATGGCACAACATGTGACCCGTGGGCACAATCCACCTGCCATTCACGCTGATCAGCTATGACAAGACAAAAAGGAAGTCAACCCTCGTATACTTTGTTGTAATCAGGCATCCAACAGAACACAATGTCATCCTTGGACGAACGACCCTACTTAAATTTGCAGCAATCCCATCGACAATGCACAAAGTAGTAAAATTTAGCACAACAGAAGGACCGGGGACGGTCCTAGCAACACCACCAAAAGAATTGTGGTGCTATGAAATCATGTAGCAGAAAGAGATCACAAAAGAAGCTAAGAGGTCTCGGGGAGAGCAGATCAGCGAAAATGAGATCATCAATAGAGAATATCCAAATCAGCCGGTCAACATAGGGTTAACCTTCCTCCAGTGACAATGCATGCACTGATCGATCTTCTAAATAAATACAAGCATGTCTTCGCCAAGACTCCTACCAACATGGTGGGAGTAGATAGGTAAATCATAGAGCACAAAATCATGATAAAACAAGGGGCAAATGAGGTCAAACATATAAAGCGAGTTCAAGGGGGGAGACATGAACATGGCGATCAATGTTGAAGTCGACAAGTTGACCAAGTCAGGAATACTCCGAGAGGCAATCTTCCCGACTTGGATTGCAAATCCAGTCATGGTTAAAAAGCACGATGGCACTTGGTGTATGTGCATTGACTATTCTAAATTAAACAAATCTTGCCCAAGGATTGTTAACCATGCCAGATCACAAGGTGGAATACTTACAAGGATTCATATTGAAGTGTTTTTTAGACGCATATAAGGGGTATCACTAGATCCTGATGAGCAAAGAGGACGAAGAAAGGACCGTTTTTTATACGGACCATGGCGTGTTTGTTATACAAAAATGTCGTTTGGTCTGAAGAATGCAGGAGCAACCTAACATCGCCTCGTTGACTCCATCTTCGCTTAAGAGACCGGAAGAAAGATGGAAGTTTATGTTGACGACATGGTCATAAAAAGCAAGATGAAAGAAGGCTGCTGAAAGACGTAGAAGAAACACTCCGAATGTTGGAAAGGTTCAAGATGAAGTTGAACCCGGGGAAGTGCACCTTTGGCATAGAAGAAGGGCAATTCCTGGGGTACTACATCACCAAAGAAGGAATACAACCCAGTCCAGTCAAAGTCGACGAATTGATGGACGTGCCATCTCCACACACCTTGAGAGATGCTCAAAGGTTGAATGGTAAACTGACCGATTTGAGCCGTTTTATTTCCAAATCGGCAGAGAAATCCATGCCACTCTTCCACACTCTCAAAGGATGCATCGAGAAAAGAAACTTCCAATGGACGCTGGCATCAGAAACAACGCTCCAACAGATCAAGGAGGCCCTACATAAACTAATTACACTGGCCAGCTGTAACATCCATAAATCATGAAAAATTTAAACTTTTAAAACCAACCCACAGTCATAATTTGTTTCAACCTAGCTTTCAAAACATGTTCAATATTCGAGTTTTCCCAAGATCATAAGTCCAAAACATGAGGATGTATACGGTCAGGCCTTCGTCTTCCCACGATCCTCCGAAGTACTTGAAACATAACCCAAAACTGTAAGCCATCGCTTAGTGAGTTCCCCTAAAGTACCAACACAACACATAATCATAATAGTAACAACAAACAACATGCATACAGAGCCTTCAATCTGACTGGACCACCTCACCGACCTTCAGTCCATATGGTATGCTCACAGAACCTGCAGTATGACTGGACCGCCTCACCGGGCCTTCAGCCTATCTGGACTGTTCTCTGGGCCTTCGGCCTGACTGGTATGCCCCTCTGGCCTGTAGTCTATCGAGCCGCCTTGGTTCTCTTGGCCTTAAGCATACAGCAGGACCGCCTCAACCAAACACACCATCACATATCAACATATACCATATCAACCCTAGCTAGCATATACAAACCTTCATACAGATCTAACAGATCTCTAACGCATAGCAGCATACTTAATATCAGAACACAAATCTAACAGATCACTATAACACAACAACATACTCGATAAGAGAACACAGATCTAACAGGTCACTATAGCATACAAATCTAACAGATCACTACAACACATCAACATACTCGATACCAGAACATAGATCTAACAGATCACGATATCAAACAATCGTGAGATAAACTAGGATAACCATCCAAAGGGACGACCTTGGTGCCTTTGACACAAAAGTACAGTGATGAAAACTCACCTCGCACTGCCGAATCTCACAGAAAGAATCTCTAGTTGCTGCCCCACTAAAATCCCCGCGCTACAATCAACCGAACAATCAACCATCAATAATTGGATCTGGTCCACAATAAGTGCCCAAACTAGGGTAAAAAACCTTTTCACCCTTTACTCAACATGACCCAACCTATGCCCAAACCAACAATCCAAAGGCCTAAAATCCAAATAAACACTCATGGACCATACATGGCCCAGTTTTCGAAATCGGGCCCAAACTCTTACATAGGCCTTGCCCCAAGGTCCAACAACATTCCTAGTCCAAAACAATTGCATTCAAATGGCCCACAAAGCCCTAAGAATCAAATCTTAAAAGAATGGCCCAAACCGAGGCCCAAAACGTCCGCAGCCCACTGACTGGGTATGCGGGGTGTACTCAGCTGTACGTTAAGCGTACATGGTTTAGGGCTTGTACGACACACGTACTGGCTTGTACGTCCAACGTACTCCTCCCATTCAACCATCTTCCACATTAAGCTCTTATTCCATAAAGGCTTTACTCCACAACCTAGATCTGACTTCCTTGGACTGATTTATCACGTAAAGTTGCTAACTTTACATTCATGCATGGCTAAATGATGATCTTAAGCTTTAAAAGGACTTTATATGTGACTCAATGCATGCATGAAACCCAATACCCCATAAAATTGGCACCTTTATGTTTAAGTAACTCCCAATAAGCTCAGATCTAAAAGAATAAGTCCTTCAAACGTTTTAACTCAACACCCATCCCAAAAAAGGACCAAAAACATAACAAATAGCTATAAAGAGATCTTAACATCTACAAGTCAAGGTATGAACTTGATACCTCCAAAGTCTTGCAACAAGGGTGATGATTCTGGATCTAAAGGCTCCTCACCAAGCAAAGCACATACAATCTTCTTTAGTTCCTTCACAATGGGCAAAAATGACCCCAAAATCTTCTCAAGAGCTCAAAACACCACAAAGAAAGCTTAAGGGTAGATTTATGGTTTTTGAATGTTTGGGGGCTGGTAAAGACTTAAGGTGCTTAAATAGGGTACAACACACTTAATTTAGGATTCCTTGCACTCCTCGTACGCCTAGCGTACTCCTCGTACACCCAACATACGAGGCCAAGGCTTCGCAAACCTTCCTTCTAACTACGCTCAGCGTACACCAGTGTACGCCTTGCGTAATGGTCCTCGCACAAGTACGCCCTGCATACTCCCCATGTACGCCTCGCGTACTACGATTTTCCCCAAACCCTAAATTCTTCCGAAGGCCATAACTTCTTTATTATAAATCCGATTTTGATTATCCTTATATCCATGAAAAGGTAACGAGAAGCTCTATGCTTTTATCATCACATAACCGTCTTAAAATTTCCCGAAAAAAATCCAATTTCCATAA